AATGTTTTTCCTTTACTATTTTATCAAAAATCCGATCCAAAATTTAACAAGTATGATTATAAATTCTATATCATGGATTAAAGTATTTAAACAAGAAATTTAACTTTCAATTTCACCAGCGTTTACCACCATTCATTATGCTTTAATATCATAATTATAAGACAGAATTTTGATGCAATGCACTCTTGTTTTTTCAAAACTATCCACGTCAATCACTGCTCATCAAAGCAAATACTTTAAAAAACTAACGCTCGTTTCAAAAACTTTCGTCACTCATTCAATGTCACCATGTTCCAGAAAAAAAAATCTTCTTGAAATATATTCTCTATTGCACAAAATAATTATAATCAATTTAGTATTGTTTATATACAGAATAACAATCTAAACATGTTTCTATTACCTAGTAAACTTCAAATACAATTAAATCCTATTAACAATAAACATTCTTTTTTTTTTATACATTGACAATATCTTTTGTTCCGCAATGGATAAAACGCTATTTCAATGTCAACTAAATTCTAAACTTACTTGCCATACAACTTTTAGACTTGACATATATTTGTAGAAGGAAGAATTTTCAAGAAGAAAGATGTTTCTTCCATGAATCGTTCCTCAAGGTAGAACAATATGATGATTTCTTTTCAATGAATCTGTTACGCAGACGTAATAGTTGAAAAATTTAGTAAGATTTTTGCTTTTTTCTGAAAAAATTTATCCTTATATTTCATCTGAGCCTAAAGAAAATATATTATTTTATTTACCTTGTCAGGTAACTCGGGCACTTTTAATTCAAGGATATTTTAGACATCAAATGAAGAGTTCATGAATTGTTTTTTTTTTCAAGGACCTAGTGTAGACTAGTAGGAAACAAGTTGCTCTATTCGGAATCACGAATGTTTGGTATTGTACATTTTCAAGTCTCAGTTTTATTATATATCATCAAGAATGCCGATTCAATAGTTTCTAGTTTATCAATCATATTCCTGTGTTATTATCCTTAACAAAAACTTATAATCAATATGTGAATTATAGAGCACATTTTCTCCGAGTTTCATCAGTACTACTAAAGAGATTTATTTTAAAGAAAAAATTGAAGTATTCCATAAAAGTATATAAGCATCTTGAACGAGATCAAATAGCCTGAATTGGTGACCCGTATGAACGACAACCACCGTCTCTCAGTTGTCTCTTATAGTTCACATTTTAGAAGATCTCAGCATCAATTTCAAAGGGTGAACTTTTTTCCAAAGAGAGAGTTGTCCACGACAATTTTATACAAATGTTTGCAAAGATGTATTTCTTCAGTGATAGAGGTCTAAATAGAATTCTATAAGAAGCTTATTAACTGATGTAGGCGCCAGCATTAAAGAGTGGTTGGTGTAAATTGAATAACTCAACAACGGCAAGAGCTAGCAACCTGCGGTTTTCACCAATCGAAAGAGGAGATCGGGGGACGCATTTTTTTACGATCTTGTTTCGGGCAAAATTATTTTGGACACAGTTATTTTTGGAAATCTTTTCTGAGAACACGTACAGATGGTATACCAATACAATGAATTTTTATTTTGATATTCTCATTAGATAGAGCGACTTGAGATCTATAGTTCAAGATACAATTCAAATGGTTCTCTTATTACATTTTAATGTTCAGTGAATGGAATCATGTATTTACATGCTCAAATAGTAGGGAATTTTCTTGATTTTTTACTAAGTTTTTGGACTTTTTATCATAATACCTTGACAGTTTGATGAAAATGTAATGAAGAGCAAGAAAGCGCATTGTATCTTGAACTATAGATCTAAAGTCGCTGTATCTAATAAGAATATCAAAATAAAAATTCATTGTATTGGTATACCATCTGTACGTGCCCTCAGAAAAGATTTCCAAATATAACAGTGTCGAAAACAATTTTGTCCGAAAAAAATATCGTGAAAAAATACGTTCCCCGATCTCCTCTTTCGATTGGTGAAAACTGTAGGTCGCTAGCTCTTGTCGTTGTTGAGTTATTCAATTTACGCCAACCACTCTTTAATTCTGGCGCGAATATTAGGATTGACTGCCAATGTAAAAAGACGTAATATTTGATTGATATAACAAAAGTATTATTATTGGTTTTTTAAAGAGTATTATAATAAGCGATTTGTTGTCAAAGTGAGCATGCTTGCCATACATGGGTTTATCACTTACATTCGAAGATGTTTCCAATAGTTTAGCTAATTGATAAAAAACATCATTATACACCTATATCAATCCATAGATATCACGATCATACAATTGGATATATTATTGGAGAATAAATTCGTCGTGATTATGCTTAACGTTGTTCGCATGATTAATATCAAACTATCTTTATGTCCTGATTGAACCAAATTGATACCAAATTTTTCATGTGGCTTCTCAATATTGGTATATTTTATTCGAAATTTAATAAAAAATCAAGAAATGTTTATTTTGATATTTGCAATTACAAAAAATCTCATCAAAAATTAAAAACTACTAATTAGTAAAAATAAAAAGTTACACAATCGATCAATGCCACCAACAAATCGATAACTTAAATATAGACAAATGTTTATCTTTAATTCATATAAGTTTTAAAGTAATTTGGAATCAAATCTACATTTGTTAATGAATATGTCACAGTAAAAAAATATCCTAGATAAATAATATGACAAAGATAAGCTGCATATGTCATTTACGTTTCAAAAAAGAAAAGGGCTTAAGATTAGTTAAACATAAAACAATGTCATAAATAGAAAGTGTACGCGATTTTTAGGAAGAAGAAGGACAAAACCATAGAATAAATTTTTCGAAGTCAAGAGAGTAAGTGTACCACAAGCAGAAATGGAAATTCGAAAAAAAAAAATTCTCCCACCATTCTCAACGCGTATATACTTCTTAATATTGAAGAAGTTTATTAAATGATCGAACACATAATGATTCTTTGAATGTCTAATTGCATTAAATTATAATAAGATCTCATATTGAACACATTGTTTTTTATCGAGATAAAATGAATCTTTGAGTAGATTTGAATAGAAAAAATGACTTGGAACAACTTAACATAAATAATAATTTTTTTTTAAAATGCTCACCATTAAATCTGGAAGTTAGTGTGTGAAAATTTTTTTCATAATTAAATGATTTTTATGAAGCATTTGAATATTTATACTTTGCTATGGCCCGCCATCGGTCACCCATACGTTGAGAAGGTTCAAATTTAGAATTAAAGAAAATTGTGTCTATTATTAGCAAGAGAACAGTCGATAGTATTTTAAATGGAAGCGTTTCTATTCCTAAGCAGCATTAAGTGCTCTAGACATGTGAAATCTTTTCTAGCGCGGACAACTGGAAGATTTGGATAAAAAATGGTAGTGGAATATATCATTAATCAAAGATTGATCAACATATTAAAAAAAATTTCAATTAGGTATTAATCAATTGGATACAAAATACTCTTTCAACATATGACTTTAGCACAAATGATATATGTCTATGAATCAAGATATTGTGTTTAAAAGTTATTATTAGTCTTGACGGAATTTCGTAATAAAACTCACTTATAATATACGTATTTTGTTCGCTTATGGTGCTAAGGTTTCGCAACAAAAACAATGCTTCCAGATAGAGGTCAACAATTTCCACTAAGTCCTATCCATTTTAAGCGTGGTTTAATTTTTATATTCCCAACAATTTTCTAAAAATGCTACACTACGAAATTTCAGTAGTATTTGATTTTTGTATAAACACATTTGGATATATTTGAAATTAGCATTGAATTTAGAATAAAATGAAGTATCTAGTTAATCAAAACTTTAATTTTTATTTTTCTAGAATATTTCCATGGTAGAAAGTGTTGAAAACGTTTTTGATACTACTGAGAAATATATCACTTCACGAAGAATCCGATGCTGATGATGAATATCTAGTTGCTTTTAAGTTTTTAATTTCATCATGTTTCCAAACTTTGATTTTCGGAGACAGGATGAAACTCCATCACGAATTCTATTTTTAGTTTGTCGTTCTATTCAGTTATATTGGTTAAGAAATGACTTAATATCCTGAAGACTTGTTAAAAGTAGAACAGCTTTTAAATAAACAGTTTTTGTTGTGTCACTTCGTTTCGTAGTGAAATGGTAAGGTCTTAGCTTCGTTAAAAAATGAATTGCACTTTTGAGCAATTAGGAATGGCTGGTATTATCTACATAGTTCAGCTCGGGCTGAAGTACAATAAACGAAATATTCACTGATAGTTGATATAAATAGTTTCTATCTGTAATAAGTTTCAAAGAATTTGCTACTGTTCCATGGAGGAGAAATGGATGTTACAATGTATAAAAGAAAAGAAATTCTGTAACGCTTGGTTACACTGATTTGTAATTTTTATAGAGAATTATTTATCTGAATTCTGATTATTATCAGAAAAATTTCATTTATCAAGAACATCCAAAATAATGATTACAGTTGTCGAAGCGACCACACATGAAATGTGATGTTTGGCAGGCGTAGTATTATGACTGGATATTCTTGTGCCGTATATGGTCGTCAAATGATCTGAAAATCGAGCACGTAACCTTTTATGATTGCTTATAATAGAGGAAAAATCAACTATAATACCATGCCAATCAAACGACGAATACATCATCAAAAACGCTCGTATACAATCGTCCTTATTTGACTTGGGTAAAGACCATACTATTCATTTGCTATTTGACTTTTTCTTTTCATGTTAGATTTCAAAAATTGGAAATAAAAAAGAAATATCGTTTTTAGCTCTTTATTTATTAGATTTTTTTTTTCGAATTAAACAAACATCTAATAACAATATAAGTGATATTACCGATTGACAGACAATAACAATTTTATTTCTTTACAATACAAAATAATATGATTAATATAAATGAACGAACAAACAACATAAGATAAATAAAAATACATTGAAAGTAAATGAAATGCAAGATGTCATATTTCTCATCATAGTTATAGAATAAAATGAAATTTATTTAGCTCTCGCTTTTGCTGATCGTACATTTCCCATAATAATTGTGGAATCCGGTTGAATGTGATTAATTCTCAATAATGTTGTTTTTCGACATAATAAAAACATTTTTGCTTCTTCTCTAAATGACTTTGATGAAGCTAGAAAAACAAAAAATGGACATGCAAATGTTATATAACATGTAGCTGAAACAATATTTGTGATGATAAGTTCAACAGTTTTTTTATTAGTAGATTTAACCATTGTTGCAGTAGACATTAAATATTCTGTAAATATTACATATGGTAATGTTGAAAAAAGTATTATTGGAATTTGTATAAGCATCATTTTTGTTAATTGTTTTTGAACTAATTGTCGCTGACGACCTATTTGTAATTTATTTGCGTTTCTATATGTCAAAAGACCTGTTATTGTCAGAATTATACTTGGTAATAAACCATAATAAACGGGAAATGCAAAATATGTTTGATAAGTAACAAAAGCTTGACTTCCAACATATGTACAAGAAAATAAACCCGTAAAAGCGCTTTTTACTAATTCAGCATGTACCGCAAATGGAATGAAAAGAGCCAACCAAAATATAGTTGACAGAATAACTGCCCATATAGCTATTGATAATCGACTTAATTTTCTGTATTTTTCTTGACGACAACTAACAAGAAATCGATCAATACTCGCTAAGCAAGTACATGTTAATGATATTAAAAAACTAGCTTGACCAAAAAAAGCGCGAGCTTTACACCAAATAAGATTTTCAGATGACCAATCAAGATAAAAACCAACACTTAATATTTTTATAAATAAACCATAAAATAAGACAATACAATTAATAAATGATAAAGCCAAAAATATAAATGCACATGAATTTTGACGAGTTCGCCAAAGAAGACGAATATTAAGTAAATTTCCCAAAGTACCACATATAAATATGGGAAGATCAAGATAAATTGTTATTGAGCTTATTAATTCATTAGTTGGCGACATTTTTTTCTTCTCTTCTGAAATCTAAAACTGCAAATATATACTTTGTTGCGTTTTATATCCTAATGCATTAAAAACATGCCTAAATCTTAAGTAGAATAAACTTATTTATATCAAGTGATAAACGAGTCAGTGATTTTTCCGCATAATTCACTGAAAACTTTTCAAGTCAACACAAGTCGAGTCAACATGCTTTATCAACAACTATTTTTTCGCTCTATATTATTTTTTTTTTCACTTGGATGAGAACTATAAAAACAATTGCGCGTATATAAATGAATTTTCAGAGTTTTATCCAGCTTATGTCTTTCTTTTAACAGATTACTTTCTCGATTAAATTTTTGTATTCTTCCAGGATCAATAAATGGAGTGCTGTCATTATCATCATTGTCAAGATAACATTCTTCTTCATGATTAATATCTTATAAAGAATATGATTAAAGAAACAACTGTATTGTTATTGATGAATTGAAATATTTAGACATATCACAATACCAATAGCAATCAATGTCAAACAGTATTGGTATCGTGATATGCCGAGATATATTCTCTTTTTCCACAATTGACCAATATTTCAAGATTTTTCTAGTATGTAAAACGAAATTGGTACTGATCATAATTAATTAAGTTTGTTGTTCTGAAATAATTTCATTAATAGATGAGCGAAATATGAATTATAATTTCTTTAAAAGTTTATCTATAACTTGTTAGAAAAGGTTTTCACTGTAGAGTTGTTCATCGTGGTACATTAGGGGACTATTTCTTTTAAAATCACAGTAGACATTGAATTTTCGAAAATATCATCATGATATTGGCACCTTTTCGGGAGACATTACAAAACACGATGAATTTGCAATGGATTTAAATGTCTACGATCATATGCTTCAGATATTCAACTATTCGGTTTTTAGACTATCTCATAGAAATAATGTTTGGTTATCTGAACTCAATATTTGAATAGTTTTATATGTGACTTTCAAATTTTCAGTGATAGTCTATTCAATAATTGAATTCAACGTGCAGGTCTAACTTAGCCGACTACAGATTTACAGACATAATATATTAATCAGAGAACATTTGAATTCTGATAAGATTATATAAAATAGGAACTAAAACATGTCAATACTTTTTTCTACGAACTAACTAAAGATGTAATGTTATTTATTTCTAACAAGGTCTCATAAGCAAGGAATGCATGATAATATTTAGTAATATTTTCACTGCAATCAGTAACAAGTTGTTTATGATTGCTACATACATAATTATTCTAATCGGCAAAACTGAATTTTAACCAGAATTCGTTCTAAATTAGGCACAAAGCTACGAAATAAGTTTCTTCTATTGAATCATAAATTCTAATTTCCATTTCAACGAAAACGGCATAGCACTTACTTGTTTTTTTTGTCAAGTACGACGAATAAACATGTCCGTTTCTTTTATACTGTGACTTATGTAACACTGATTTCTTCCACATCAACATCAGAAAATGATACTCCGAATGTATTTCTATGAACATATTAATTTTTGTCAGTATTGAATTCTGGGAAAAGGTAAGTATTATTCTACGATATAGAGGTTGCGCCTCAATTAGCTCAATTCGACCATCACGAAAAAAAGAGAAAAACAGAACTTTGCTGAAACATTGAGTTGCGGCAACCTTTGGTATACTGTAAATACTTTAAAACTTGAATATCGCAGTCTTTGTATGCCAAGGACAGTCTCTGCTTTGAATTCGTTAGTTTGGTGGTGAAAGATTTAATTGGACGTGAATATATCTAGTCTCATTACCTAACAACACAAACAACTTCATTGTAAGTATTATCTAACACATCTTTTAAAATAAATGAAAGTGATTGCAAGAAAGATTTCGTTCAGTTCAATTATTTTCTTTTCAACTATCTAATCTCGTTTATGTCAGAATAATGACATTCATGTCGAAACTAAATGCTGCCTTTCTTATCTTGAATCTTCTTTAACCGGATTATTTTCTTATTATTGTTAAGGGTGTTCAAATGTAACTGGAGATAAATGGCCAATAACATTTTTCATAGGTTTTTGTGACATAGAAGGCTAGAATTTTTATTACATATTTTTATATTAAACCAAGATCCTTAATTATTCAAAGTTTCACATCTTTTCTTCGCTCAATATGTATAAACATGCTCTTCATTGTTTTCTACAATTGACTGAAATTGATAAAAGTATCCTATTCATCGTTTTTGCACATTTTTCTTTCGAAATTTTCCTTCATCCTATTGCAACTTATCTTTCTAACTGTATCAAGCTATGAAACACTTTTCTATAAACGTTTTCTTTTCTTACACGTTACATATTATCAATACTCTTCATACATTATCAAATTGAACATCCCTATCTACTAGTTCTATAAGTTTATAATATGATTGTGCTACAAACTATGCGACACCAATAACATATATTATTTTGCGAACTTTTCAACTCAATACAAAACATTACAATTCAGTTCTATATTCATAACTGATGAGCATTTCAAATGCAATTTGCCATTAAATTCGAAAGATTCTAGATATTACTGCATTTCTACATCGTTAAAAAAAGTTACCCACTATGTCACAATCAACAAAGTAACAAAAATATTTATAAGAAGCCACCAGGAAAATTCGTGCAAGTTCAGATAATTATATATCTTGGTTCGAAATGAATGGCGCTTGGCGCTCCCGAAGTCCTGTCACAATTTTAATAATAAATTTTTCTTTAGTAAAATACAAAATTGAAAATTTGTCTCTAGGATGAAAAGGTGTCTTAAAACACGCTCTACAAAATGACTTTTGTTTGACTCTATCAGTTCTTACAGTAAGAAAGTTATAAGCTTAAAAATATACTGTACAAAAAATAAAAATTAGCCGTGAAATTTTTAGAGCTGACAAAAAATATAGCGATTTTAGATTACGTGCATTCGTACAAAGTCCTAAAAAACGTTTTCTAGATACTTAATAAGTCTTTTGAAGGGTTTCGTAGGAAGGCACGTAATCCAAAAAGGATTTTGAATTCGTTGCAGTGTCTGAAATCCTTCTTTTCAGCGTGGAGCAAACGTGTTTGAAATCTGGAATTCATTTTATAATGACTATAAAGTGATGCTAACAGTGAACTGAGTGCTCAAGCCGTATTCAGTCCGCTTTATTCTTTGCCAGTTCTAAAAACTTCACGGTTAATTTTTACTTTTTGTATATTATATTTTTAAATTTATTATTTTCTAACTGTAAGAGCTAGCAGAGTCAAACAAAAGTCATTTTGTAGAGGATGTTTTACTGCGCCTTTTCATCCTAGAAACCAATTTTCAATTTTGTATTTTACTAAAGAAAAGTTTATAATTCAAATCGAGATAGAACTTTTAGGCCACCTTTTATACACATAATAAAAATTTCACCATTCTATGTCAAGAAAAAGTATGAAAAATATTATTGCTAATCTATTCTCAGTTATTCTTGGACTCTGATTATTAAGTTTGAACAGATTCTTTTTCTTTCATGTCATATGATTAGAGTTTGGTGTTGTTTTGATAATTTTAGTTTGTCGTAAGCTTTTCATATTAATCAATACTCTAAATAATTAAGAGAATACATTAGTCTGTCGCTTTACGTTGTACAATGATTTTTGTATTATTACATATTGTCATTGTTGGTCGTTTTTTTCAAATTAAAACCTGTTTCTATAGTAATGAAAAATATCTATTTTAAAAGAAACAAAGAGAAAGAACGAACAACAAGTAGTATCGGGTTAAGTGAGTCTCATTATATTCACTGACTTTTTTGAATTATGGAAAGAAAGAATGAGTTAATAGTATCTTTATGCAAGTTAAAATTGATATGCCACTGGCATAATTTCTATACTTGTGTCGATTCACTCTGGCACACACTATGCATCTGTATCGGCATAATATTACACTAAATCGAAATGTCACTGAACTTCATGTTTTACACAATATATGTCAGAAGAATATCACATTGACATAGGAAATTTCTATGATTGCTGAAATAAATTGCGTAGAAAGTCTGTTTGACTTTGATTTTGATGATAAATCTTGGTATATCAGTCTGTAAGTAGTTGAGAATTCGAAAAAAATTATTCAAATGATTAATTTAACAACGAGATATCATATTTTGGGTAACGTATGACTTAATCATTGAGTTTTTTGCTGCATATGACTAATGATGAGACTAAGCTAATGTTTTTTTAAATTTAGTACAATTGCCAAGATCGTTACGGCATACAAATGTACATCATCCTTGTAGTTGTACGTGAAAGTGTCTTTATCGAGAACAGTCATGATGTCCCGAACGAGTCAACATTGAGAAAGTAGTACCACGATGCTTTTTCCTAAGAGAACGCGAAAAAACATTAACTTTTTTTGATTGGGAGTGTCTTCGAGTAGACCAACCCTAAAAGTACCACTATACTTCTGAATATATCGCTACTAATGAATTTTATACTAATTAATAGCTCGCTTAATATAAGATCTATGAGTATGACTTATAAGAGCGATAGAATGATTACAGACTATAGAATAAGGAAATAATTTGATCAATCAAGATAAATAACAGCATATTTTCTGGACTACCCAATGAAAACTTGGTACAATTAAAATTTAATAAAGCTTGACAATCCGATGATCATAATTGAAAGCTCAAATCGGATTATTGTTCGACGTAATTGAAATTGAAACCGGTTAAAATCGGATTATAGATGAGTACTATTTTATTAAAATTTTCAAAAGAAACAACTTATAATTTATTCTAATTTTCATTTAGTGTCAGAATAATTGAATTGAAAATGTTGATTATAATCGATTATAAACCAGTTAGAATCCAATGAAAAATTTGACTTACGCATTTTTATTTCAATTTGATTTATCGGAATAATTCATTTTGTCATAGACGCAAGAAAGACTTCTCTTGAATAAAATAAAACTTTTTATGTGAATTTTTCTTCATGAGATAGAATCTTTGAAATTAGACCAAGACTAGAGTGCTTCACGTTATTGGACATTGGTTCTCGAATTATACGCATTGTACTATTTTTTTAGCCTATATTAGAGAACAGTATGAAAAATCGAATGTTTGAATATTGATCTGAAGTTTTTGCTTACAAAAAGATCCAACTATTACTGTAATGCAATATGTTGCAGTTCAAGATTAGGATGACAAGATCTTGTGATCTTTTCCAAATTTTGTACTTTTCTATATCACATCCTTGTTAAAGAGTAGATATGGGTGTAAGTTGTTCATTCAAGTATACCTACTCGTGGTATAACATATTCGGAAAATAAAAAAATAAAAAACATGCTATCAAATTGATATTGTATAATTGTTCTTTTTTTTCTTTTGCGTTTTCTCTCAACCTACATAGGACGCAGTTGTTGTCGGTGATGAGTCAACTAACACTGCAGACTTTCAAATATGCATATTCGCCTGTCCTCCTCCCTCCATCTTTACAACTAGTTTTTCAACATCAAAACGAATTTCACCTGTAACTGTTGCTTTATGTTTTACAAGAGATTTGCTTTGTTGTGATGCATCTGTTGTCAAATATAAACCAGAATCTGTTAGCTATGCGAAAAGACGTAATATTTAAGTCGTATAAGCAGATTTATCATTATTTGCTGCTCGAAGAGTATTTAAATATTTGATTTGTTGCCATATCAAGCCGGTTTATTATCTATATGTTAATTACTTATATTTGATAATGTTTCCGATTGGTTTAGAATGATTGTTTTACTTATCAATGGCAAAACTTGTTGAGAGTCCCGATCAAAACATGGATACCATTATCATACAAGAGGATATATCAAGAGTTAATCAATTCGTCGCGTTATTCTCAACATCGTTTGCGTTGTTTTTTTATTACTACCTTTGGTTTTTTTATTGGACTAGACTGATCCTAAAACTTGTATGTCTTTTCTCGACATTGATTTGTTTGATTTCAAAAGTAGTCCAACATCAAGAAATGCTTATATTGCGATTTGCAAGAACAAGATCTTATCAACGATGAAAAAATATTTATTAGGAAAAACAAAAAGTTACACAATCGGTGGATGTTATCAACAGATACAGGACCTAAATATCAATGAGGATTTTTTAAAGGTCTCTCAAATATCGATCATAGACCAATTATTTTTGAATCGCATGAAATTTTCAGGATATATTAGAGATGTAGTGGATAGACTATGGTGGAACTTCCAGTCCTATATAGTTATGTTTTCGCGCGATATGCATCAAACAAGGGTAAAAAATATCTCGTTTGACAACGCAAAATACTCTGTACGTCTTCATTCTATATACTTAATTTTTTATGTGGAACAGCATGCTACAATACTGGATATGACTGAGCAATTTTTTTTAAATATTTCTTTTTAAGAGATGAAAAGTAAAATGTCATAAAGAAAAGTCTAAAAAACTGATGGCCAAGTAGTGCATGAAAGGACTCTTTTATGTAATATTAACAAAGCCTATGTCAGCAAAGAATCTTGGTGATGCTCTGCGTCTTGGCGTCTTGTTTCAAATAAAAAATGCATTGGCTAGAATTATGCTTCTTCCAGAATTTTGAAGCACACAAATCGAAAAATATAAACTGAGAAAAAGAGAAAAAGATTTGTTGCTTTATTTGAGAGAAACATTTTCTAAACATAGAATGATCGACATTTTTCGACAAAATGAGATGCCCGATAAAAAATCATTTCATTGATGAAAGATCAGACCTCAGGCTATCTTTTCATGAACTTATCGAAATTTTCATGTTTTCTGACATAAATTGAATTTTTTCTAAAGGAGAAAGTGGGCTTTAATTAGCATCAAAAATTTCAAAATAATTAGGTTTAAATCAACATTTGTTAACAAACATGTCACATTTTTTTAAATGTCTTAGATAAGTAATATGACAACGATAAGCTGAATATGCCGTTTGTACTTTGAAAAAAAAAGGTTTTAATTCTAGCTAAAACATAAAAGAAAGTAATGAATAGAAAGTTTTTAATAAAAAAACACCTCATGTAGCCGAATAATAGTGCAATTACAAAATAATGAAATCTATTTCATGAATTTTAATGCATTATTTCCAAAGATAACGCATTAAAATGTGGGAAACATATTGCATTATCATATAATTGCATCCATTATTTCCATAGTGATTGCATCAGAAGTCAACTTTTATTTGACTTGATGAAGGAGAAAAGCAGATTGGAAAGTGTTTCGAAGACAAAAGACTAAGTCTATCATAAATAGAAGCCGAAATTCAAAAGAAAAGACTTCAAGCGCCACTCTTAAATCATATGTACTAATGTAAATACGATAAAAATCTTATGTTGAGCACATCATTTTTATCCAAGTAAAACGGATCGTTCAATAGAGATGAACAGAAAAAATGAATTGGATAAATCTGGCATACATAACATCTTTTTTCAAATATTTATCATTAAATATGGATGAATTTCATGAGTAAGAATTGTTTTCGTAATTAAAGATTCTATTAATTGTTTCGGGGTTAATATGTTTAATTTTTTTATACAATAACTCTTCTAAGATTCATTTATTTTAGAAAGATTTCATTTATCAAGAATACGGACCACACTATTCATTTGTTATGTAGTTCTTATTTTGACAAAATAATTATTTCGAAGATTTCAAATGAAAACAAAACATCACATTTAGCTCTTTATTCATTAGATTTTCTTTTCAGTTGAACAATCATAGAACAATAATATAAAGTGATATAACAGATAAATAGACAATGACGACTTTTTTCTTTACAAAAAAAGATTTATATGATTAATAAAAATGTACGGACAAACAATATCAAATGAGTAAAAATATATTGAAAGTATATCAAATGTTCACTCTTCATTAATTGTGATAGGTTTTATATGATTCACCATAGTGGTGAAATAAGATGGCATTTGATGAGTTCTCATTGATGTAGATTGTATATTTCCTGCAGCAGTTATGGAATGCGGTTGAATTTGATTAGGTCTCCATAAATTAATTTTTTGGCATAAAAATAACATTTTTGCGTCTTCTCTAAAGGTTTTTGATGAAGCCAAGAAAACAAAAAATGGACATGCAAATGTTATATAACATGTAATTGAAACAATATTTCTAATTACAAGTTCAACAGCTTTTTGATCAGTAGATTTAACCATTGTTGCAGTAAATGTTGAATATTCTGTAAATATTACATATGATAATGTTGAAAAAAGTATTATTGGAATTTGTATAAGCATCATAGATGTTAATTGTTTTTGGACTACTTGTCTTTGACGACCTATTTGTAATTTAGTTGTGTTTCTATATGTCAAAAGACCTGCTATTATCAGAATTATACTTGGTAATAAACCATAATAAACAGGAAATGCAAAATATTTTTGATAATTAGAAAAAACATCATTTCGAACAAGCGAACAAGATGTTGATCCTGTAGTTGAACTTGGTAATAGTTCGAGATATACTAAATAAGGAATGGAAAGACCTAACCAAAATATAATTGACAGACTAACTGCCCATATAGCTGTTGATAGTCGACTTAATTTTCTGTATTTTTCTTGACGACAACTAGCAAGAAATCGATCAATACTTGCTAAGCAACTGCATGTGAATGAGATATAAAAACTAGCTTGACTAAAAGAAGTGCGAGTTTTACACCAAATACGATTTGTAGTTGACCAATCAAGATAAAAGCCAACACTTAATATTCTTGTAAATAAACCATAAAATAAGACAATACAATTAATAAATGATGTAACCAAAAATATAAATGCACATGGATTACGACGAGTTCGCCAAAGAAGACGAATATTAAGTAAATTTCCCAAAGTACCACATATAAATATGGGAAGACCACCATAAATTGTTATTAAACTCGTTAATCCGTTAGTCGAAGACATTTTCGCTTTTCTTTTAAAATCTAGAAAAGCAGATATTCTTTTTTGTCACATTCAATGTTCTAATACATTGAAAACATGCCTAAACCATCTTAATTAGAATAAACTCACTTTTATCAAGAGATGCACAAGTGAATGATTTTTAGACACAAGTCAAATCTAACTTGATTTGTGTACCAGTATTTTTATTTTTCTTCCATCTTTTTTTTTAATCGGATGAGAAATATAAAATAATTACACGTATACAAACGGCTTTTCATAGATGTATCCAGCTTGCATTTGTCAACGGATTACTTTGTCGATTAGTATTAAATGAAGTACTCTTCTCATGTTAATAAATAAAGCGCTGCCATTATCAATATTATCAAGATAATATATTTCTTTCTGACCACATTTTTTAAAGAGTATCATTAAAGAAGAAAATTTTTTATTGATCAATCAAAATATTTAGGCATAATACAATACCAATACGATATTGGCGTACTAATATTGACAAGTATCACTACTAACAACAATTAATATGAAATACTATTCAATACCAATATCGCTTGATATCAAATAGTATCGGTATTCTCACATGCCGAGAATAATTCTTTTTTCACAATGGAAAAATATCTCTAGGATTTTTCTTGTATATAAAACAAACTTTGTACTGTTCATAATCAATTAAATCTTTTCTTTAGAAATGATTCCATCAATAAATGGACATAATATGAAGCATACTTTCTTTGATATTTAACTCGTAACTTGTCAACAAAGACTTTTACTACAGAGCGTTCTTATTTCGGTATGCAAGCGGCATTCTTTTGAAAGAAAAGTAGGTCGAGAATTTTCGAAAATAGCGTCGTGTCAGCGGCATCTTTTTGGGAGATATTACAAAACTGTTTAAATTTGCAATGGACTCAAGTATTTACAATGGTATGGTTAAAATATTCAACTATTCTGTTTCCTAGATTCGTTCAGTCAGATAATATGATGTTATCTCAACAAAATAATTGAATTCAATCTGAATTAATCTGCTAGAGATTTCCAAATATTATATATAAATAAATAAAAAAATATCTAAAGTAGCGACTAAAACATTTCAATACTTTGTTTTTCTACGAACTAATTATACATGTAAACATATTTAGTTCTAAGTAGATTTCATCAGTAAGGAATGCATGAAAATTGTTTAGTACTACTAATTAAAATCAGCAACAAGTTGCTTACAATTACTAAGAATCATTGCACGAAAATCACCATGGAATACAATATACGTTGATCAAGAATTTTCCCCAAATAGTGGTTTTTATTCTGACAATAGGTAATGCTACTATAGTTGTGCATATGTTAGTATTTTTAATGGTGAAGAATTTTGTATTAGTGAGAAATAAAGATTTCATTTCTATCATTTAGCAATAGAAATCATTATCGATAACGTTCTTATAAATAATTATTTAGAAGAATGCCTTTGATAATGATTCCTATCGTTAGATAAAAGAAATGAAGCCTTTATTTCTCAGCAATATAAAAATCTTCAAAGTTTAAAAATACTAACATATATAAAACTATAGTATCACTATCTATTGTCGGAATAAAAACAACTATTGGGGAAAATTGTTGAGCCATGTATATAAGATTCAATCGTCGTTCTCATGCAATTACTTCTTGATAGATAAAAATATGTCAATAGATTAAATTAAATTCTAGGCATAATTCTATTTTTTAGATTAGGCATAAAACTGAGAAATAATTTTCTACTATTAAACCCAAAGCAATGAACATATTAATTTTGTCAGTAGTAATTTTCGATACAAGACATATTATTCTATGACACGAAACACGCACGCTTTAAAATCGTTCATTTTTTTCTTATAATTCGAAAATTACTCAAGAAAACTTTACAACATAATTTATTGTTTACTTTACACGTACTATATAAACCACTTTCAATTAGAAGATAAACGGATATGAATAAAAAATAATATTGGTGTAAGCATAAGTTTTAATGATCCTTCCATTTTATTAGTTGAAGAAAAAACAGCATGCTCTACATTTTTCTAAGACAATCTAAATTTCAATTGAAAACACTCGCAAACTCTACAATATCGTATAAACATACTTTACAACTAGATATATGTTTATCGACAATTTATTATCTTTCTGTATATTAATTCTAAAACTTTTTTCTGATTACTTATTCTCGCTAATTACAATATAATTCGGTTGATACTTACAATAAATTCGAATCTTACGCATGATTTTCATCAAGTAATGTATATGTCATATAAAAAATAAGAATGTATCTCCGCTTTGATCCTGTTAAAAATAGTTTCTAATGTCATGTTTAAAGAATCATGGTTAATATTGATTAATTTTCGATATGACTGTCACATAGATTTATAAATAATATCTATCAAACTCGTAACTTTTCTAATTAGCTGCCTATAGATTAATCTATCTAATATTACGAGTACAATAGTCAATGATAGTATTACTGAAACTTCTCTTAAACTGTTGAGCTTATTCAAAATTCTGATTCCTACTATTTTATATTCAGAATTTCTTATTGCTAATTGAAAATAACAAATATATTGATTAGAAAAAATGAGAGTGTCTAAAAGTTTCTACATGAATGAAATGTGTTTGAAAAACTAAAATACAAAATGTGATATGAAATATCTGATAGTTAAATGAGTACACAATCGAAAAAGAAATGAAAAAAAGCTTTCACGTGAATCAATTGATATTCTCATTTGAATTATTCTTTCAAGATACTTTACACATTGTCATCTTTTGTATAGATATATAATAAACAGGAAGTAGAAACCTTATTTAAAAATCAGGATTACAACGATGAATAATAAAAGATGTCATCATTTAGAAAGTCTGTTTATCAACTTTATAAAAGAGAAAAATTTCAGACTCTTATAAAAGTACTCCTATGGTAGATAAGCAATAAACCAAAGAAATAATCTATCTGATGAAGGTCACTAAGTTTCATAAGAAAAAGTATCGTTCAAATAAATAAATTTCGTTTTTACAACAGTCTGAAATTTGAGTTTATTTTGTCTCCTATTTAAAAACGACTGTAACTCGAACGTTTTCTGTGAAACTTTTTTTTCTATTTGAACTATACTTTTCTTTTTGCAATATGATGAGCTCTCTGCAATTACTACAAAACAAGAAAAGATCCTGGTTAAATGTTGAATTGCAAGCACCTTACATACAGTATAAAAGTCTTAC